GCGGGACGGGACGTTTAAAAACGCCCACCCGCATTTAAGAAGCTGCTGTCTGGCCGTTTAATTACAACGGCCGGACAGCAGGTGGTTAATTATGATTGGCTTCCCAGCCAATCAGCATAGAACCACCTTGCTGGCCAATCAGGAAGCTGGCTCCATGTTCCCCTACGCCACTCCTGCTCAGAGAAAATCTTCCTCTGACCTGAAGTTGTGGTATCGGGGAAGGTATTGGAGCATTTGGGTGAGTACGAGTACTAGCACAAATATCGGTACATCCCTTGTTACTATCTATAACCTCTGACCTTGTTTTAGTCCACATATTTCTCTTATCACACAGACAGTCCAGTTAGATACCATAACCATGAAAAAGATATTTAAATGTAAAATGAAGATGTCCCCTATAACTGATTTTCTGCCCCAAATGTTATATGTTGTAAGAAGCGAGTGAGGGGATAATTGGGGAGATATCGATAGAACCAAGCTACATCATCAAGATACGAGCTACCAAAGCCATATCCTGGACATGCATACATGAAATGTGTGTGTACAGACATTAGATCCAGTGAACCTGGAGCTAGAGAACACTTTGCAGATGTTTGGAACGTGCCACAATGCCACCTACACACAGATTTAAATTATGAATTATTACCTGATCACTCCCTTTCCAGGAATCCTCCAGGGCGGTAATTCATGTGACCGTCTTGGAGGATGATTGGGAAATAAAGTTTACATGAAGGTAAAGGCTCAGCAATTCCCACATAAAGCTGTGCCCAGAAACTCAACCACGGGGGTGACATAATGAGCCTTACCTGATTGGCAACCACTGCGTCCTGTGGGTCATCTGGTTCGGCTGCAGCCAACAAAGCTTGCAATGATAACAACACTGTTCGTAACGTCATGGCTGCCGCCCTGAGAACAAGTAAACACATTTTCTTTTACCAGTCAGCGTTCTACTTTAACAACATTCCTCATACACTAAAAAGTCCCAACGTGTACTTAGATGTGGACTCTGTTTACTCTGCTAGGCACTATGTATATATAATTACAATGAAGAAAAAAAAAAACCTGCCTAGACATAACCATCATAAGAAAATGTTACTCCTAAGCTAGCCATACAGTACAATGTTCCATTTTTTTCATTCATCTTGATGGACTAATGTCTTTATTCAACCTCAAATACTATGTAACTATGTATGTATGAACGAAACATAGTAGAACAGATTCCTCCATCAACGCTTATGAGAGTTGACCAAGCAGTCTCACACTCTCTTCACTGTATTCTGATAGAGGCCGCCGTCGGAATGCCCGAACAGAGCCAGCAGCTCATTGGCTGCCGGCTGCATTCATACGAACATTTTCAGACCGGCTCCTTGCCGGCCGATAGTGGCAGCCACCGTGTGAATTGCGGTCGGTTCATCAAGAAATGTGCACATTGTATGACCACCTTTACTCCCTGTGTTACATTTGTCAATGGTGTTGGTGGGCCCAGATACAGTGTGGCACTAACTCCCTCCAAATGATCTCAAAAAGTATGCTGGTAGGGCTTACAAATATTGGTAAACTCGTACTTACATTCTGTAGCAATGGGTCAGCTATGAGTACAGTCCCAAATAGCGGGACATACAGCAAAAAGTAAGCAGTTCTTGTCCCCTCCTATGTTTTACTCCTTTCCCATTCCGGCAATAGGCAGTACCACTAACCAATAATGATGACAAGGAGGATGACCTAGAGTCATATCAGCATGTACTGATTTTCAGGGCTCTGGGCACAATCTAATCTGCAGCTGACATGAAGGCACCTAGAGACGCCTGCTATGGAAAATAAGAGCAGATTTACTAATATTACCAAGTCCAAATAAGCCTACATTAAAGAAGGGGTAACACAGACAAAAAAAATACTCCAAGTGTCTGATTTAAGATTTGCTTATTAGCATAAAGACAGAAGCCAAGATCAAATTCTTACTAGAATATATTTATAGATATAAAGCTCTGCCAGTACGACCCATAGAAGAGTGTTGGCTCAGGCCCAAGTTTCTTACGTTTCTTTCACTGGAAGAGACCGCTATTTTTGCTTCAACCCTATCAGTACACTACTCACATCCTGGAGTTGACATCTTACCACTGGTCTTTCAAAATGTCCAAACATATAGCTCCGGTTACTGAACTAATATTCGGATGCCAGATTTTGGTTATAAACCGCACCTAAAAGACAGAAATAAGTTATGACAACACTATAGGTAAACTTCACCAAATGACATTTAAAGTGACACTAAACTCGGGAGTTAAATCTTAAAAATGCATTCAAATGCCTTAAATATTAACAAACATGTATCCTATTTGTGTATCACTCAGCTGTAGATCCTCAAATCATCTCTGAATTGGCGCTGACACTGTCCTTCCTTCTGGAGAATGGCTACTTTTATTCCCCATGGTCCCTGTGTGTGTGCTGTAAAGTAGTCACCTTTCGTCTTTCTGCTAAAACACCCTGAAGACGTCAAGACGACGAAACGCGTAGGGGCGGGCCTCACTACACGCCATACTGAATACAGGACTCCGTTCCTAGGCTGTTTTACATTGATCGAACAAAAACTTTGGTTGTTCGTATTTGTTCGTTTTAAACTTGATGTTTTTAATAAAGCCTTGAAAAATATTACACAATGAAAGGCTTTTTTCTTCCATAAAACGGGGAGACATATCCTTCATTGAAGAGCACAACTGAGCGGTTTCCTGCTGCTTGTCACAGCCACTACTCACGAGCACAACGAGACGGTGGATGGATGCTTCAGCCCTGAGAGCTTTTGTTTGAGCGTTTTCCGGCTGCTTATCACAGCCACTACTCACGGTGAGTGCACCTTTTGAGGGGATATAGGTGGTATTAACCCTTATCCCCAACACAGTTCACGGAATTTCTTTTGAACATTTGTCTTTTTTGGGATATTTTTTGAACAGTTTTTTTGTTTTGGATCGTGACACATCACATCAACTAACAATTTTTGGTTGTTGTCACTAATTATTTCACATACCCTGTAGGATCAATGATCCAGGGCCATTGATGGTTTTTTCTTATATAAAAAAAAGATCTTGAAGGCACGGAATATTCATGTGTATGTTATATGAATATAATTTATTTATTTGAATCACTTAGATTTATCATATTTATTTATTAGAATTATCTTATATTTATATTTAATTAATTTTAGGGTTTATGATATTTAACACATTATATGTTGCGGGCGCTGCATAATTTGTAAGTTATTTGTTTTGACCCCAAGGTCGATTTTGCCGCAGCCTTGAAACTAAATTGGCACACTAGCACTTATACACTTTTCTAGGTCCAGCGCAGAATCACTTATATCTATAAGGTTAAATATTACTTCTCCATATTACATGGCTTTCACAACTGGTCCATGCGCACAGCTGCAGAGGAGGGTAATGTGTAGGCCAATTTTCAGGCACAGCCAGCCAATCACAGCTTAGGGAGTGCCCCTGTGACCTAGTGTCATTGCTGTGCTCAGGACCAGCATCATCTGACAGGTGTGTATAAAGATTGTTAGTACCAAGTCTGACTGCGTATCTATATCGGGAACTTCTGCTGGCCCTTATGGCTCTCAGAGGACACGCTATTCTACAATGTAAGATCAGTGCCAGGAAGGAAGTTTCTGCAATTCAGCCGACAGACAGGTAAGTATAAAGTACTTCTCAGGGTACTTCTCAGGCATTTGGACTGTTCTAACCCCCCCAACAGGGCCATTTTCTAACAAGTCTACCAGAATGAGATCTTTGAGGAACGTCAGAAACGACACAATCCATCATTACACATAGACTTCTTACCTTAGGGGGATTAAAGGGGTAGGTTTCAGGTATTTTGATTTCTAGCTGGTATCGCCCACCTGTAAAAGAAAAGGTTATCATTTTGCTGACTTCTTAAGGTTACAAATGTAATGCACTGAGAATTATTGTACTAGAAAACATCATTCTAAGATGCAGTCCGCTGAGAGTAATGACAAAATGTCATCCATATGCAGAAGGAGGTTCATCACCAGATACAAGCTGGAAGAACCGTGTATCAGCAGTGATAGAACATAACATTAGGACCTTGGCCAGACAAAAAGAAGAAGATGGTTAAAAATTAAAATAAATATTTTTTTTATGACCATCTAAAGACCAACTGTATAAAAAAAAACATGAATGCCTCTGCAATACATGCACATCCATGTTTTATCCATTTAAAGGGTCAGATCACTTTAAAAGAACACACACTCTATACAGTCGCTATACACAATACTGTCCTCACCCTAAGCTGATCAGATTGTAAAACAATGCCTCTCTTCTGCTCACATACCTGTAAGCTGTCTTCGCAAGGACAGCCGCTGTAGGCCGCACATGTGCAGTGTGCTCTCTCCTGTCGCCTCAGATGAGCTCAGTGGCTGCAACAGGAGATGAAGAGCGCTCTGTGCATGTGCAACCCTCAGGAAAAGGATGATATTAGCAGTAAAATCTGAAAGACCCCAAAAATAGAGAAAAATACCTGATGATCTGCCAGAAAAGCACTTTGCTTCTAATTCTTTGTCGTGGGTTAACACACAGCAATTGTGAGTGGTGTCAGCCCTGCCCAACTATCTCTTGCCAACTACTTAGACCCAACCTACCCACTCTCTCATTTCCTCAGCATAGAGGCTAATCATGCTGTAGTCCTAACATAAGGACTGGTATAGCCAAGTGCTCTCCATGAGACAACACAGTTAGTGAGCACTGGACACAGGACAGCTCAGAATTTCTGAGATAATTAACAGGTAGGTTTTTTGTACTTCTCAAACAAATGTAATAAAACACTTCCAATGGCATATTCAATGGACCAAAAGGGAGCAAATAAGAAAAGTTAATTGTTCGGATTTACATGCACTTTAAAAGCCACCAACTAGTTTTAAAGTAAGCCTGTCACAACCCCAGGCAACGCAAGCACATCATGAAACACATGTATGAGGAGATGAGATTACCATCAATGAAAAGTGCATGTCAAAGATCCAGTATGAGTTTCATACAAATGTCAAACCTTTCATGTCTGGCGAGGCTCTTCTGATACTTGAACATGATAGGCAGCCTTACTGTCACGGTCTAGGGGCTGGGGTACGGGAACCCCGGTGTTTGAGGAGTTGGTTGGAGTCACAGACAGGAGGGATATCTGGGATGTAGGTCACAGGGAGAGAGGAACTAATGGTCTGTGCGTTCTCAGGACGCACTAAGAAGGGCCAGGTATTCGACAGAGCCTCTAATGGGGAGGATGATTGGCTGCTGGACACCTTCCAGGTTGCGGCCCTCTAGCGCACCCACACAGACGCAAAGGACTAGTTGAATTACCGGGGGAACTGGATACAAAGAACAGGTAGGGATGAAACTTGTAACCAAGGAGGAAGATAGGAACAGTGGCACACAATGAAAGAGAAAGACACAAATAAATGTGCAAGACGCACAGCAGAGGATATACTGAAGAGAGTAGACAAGCAAGGACTGAGGAGACAGTGACAAACCGGAAAGGTGAGTAGCTAGGAGGTACACTTAGGAGCATGAAGGTATAAAGTACAAAAAGTCAGAGATGTGCGTTGCACATGCATACAAAGAAAAGGAAGGATAACAGAAGATAAAATGCAAGGTGTAGGACAAAGAGGTAAATGCACACAGGGAGTGTCACAATAGAAGTAAGCACAAAGCTGCAAGGAAAGAGTGTAGCTTAGAAGGGCTAAATGCATAGCAAGGTGGCTACACTGGAAAGGTAAGTAACAGACCGCTAGAGAGAGTTAGCTAGAAGTACAAAGAATGGAACTAGGTAGAAGAAAGCAAACACACAATGGCTGGAGTGAGAAAACACAGAAGTAGTTAGGCAAGGAAGGCAGTATAGAAGCAAAGGGAAATCTTCAGCAAAATACAAAATGGTACACACTGGAATACTATAGTAGGGGCGCAAAGAGCAAAAGCAGGGCATAACGCCAAACAGGGATACCAGCTGGTACAGGAAAGCCAAAGGCACAAGGATCCAAGGAGGAGAAGGCATCAGCCAGTACAAAACAAATAAAGCAAGCTGGTCAGGGAATGGAGTACAGTGGGCATTTGGTGAATGCTTTAGGAATACCTTTTATTGCACAATGAATAAATAAACAGTATGGAAAATAATGATGTGACCCCCTGTAGAGTTTGCCCATGTACAAAGACATGAAAGGTCGATCATTTTTTATCATAGGTGTATTTTATATGATGGAGACAGAATATCAGAAAAAACACAATACAAATGTTATAAATGGAGTTGCAGTTCAGTGAGTAAAAGAAGTATTTGATCCCCGAGTAAAACATGACGTAGTACTTGGTGGAGACGTTTCTTGTATTTGGTTACCAGGTTTGCACACATCTCAGGAGGGATTTTGGTCCTTTTACAGATCTTCTCTAAATCCTTCAGGTTTCTTGGCTGTCGCTTGGCAACTCAAAGTTTCAGCTCCCGCCATAAATGTTCTATAGGATTAAGGTCTGGAGACTGGCCACCCCATGACCTCAATGTGCGTCTTCCTGAGCCACTGCTTTGTTGCCTTGGCGGTATGTTTTGGGTCATTGTCATGCTGACCCATCCACGACCCATCTTCAGTGTTCTGGCTGAGGGAAGAAGATTCTCATCCAAGATTTTACAATAGATGGCCTCATCCATTGGCCCCTCAATACGGCAAAGTCAGCTTGTGCCTTTAGCAGAGAAACAGCCCCAAAGCATAAAGTTTCCACCTCCGTGTCTGACTGTAGGGATGGTGTTCTTAGGGTCAGTCAGCATTTTCTTCCTCCAAACACGGCGAGTCACGATAATGACAAAGAGCTCCATTTTGGTCTCGTCTGACCGCAGCACTTTCTGCTAATCCTTCTCTGAATCATTTAGATGTTCATTGGCAAACTTCATACGGGCCTGTACATGTGTCTTCTTGAAGAGTGTATTGTGTTACCAATGGTTTGTTTGGTGACTGTGGTCCCAACTGCCTTGAGATAATTTACAAGCTCCCCCCCCCGTGTAGTTCTGGGCTGATCCCTCACTTTTCTCATGATCATCCTTACCCCATGAGGCGAAATCTTGCATGGAGCTCCAGACCGAGGGCGATTGGTTATTTTGTATTCCTCCTATTTGCGAATAATCGCTCCAACAGCTGTTTCCTTCTCACCAAGCTTCTTGCTGATAGTCTTGTAGCCCATTCCAGCATTGTGCAGGTCTACAATCTTGTCCCAACGTCCTTTGACAGCTCTTTGGTCTTGCCCATGGTGGTGAGGTTTGAATGGTAGAAATAGATTCTGTGGACAGGTGTCTTTTATATACATAACGAGTTGTCGTTAGGAGCACCTTCTTAAAGTGACAGGACTAATCTGTGTACCACATAGCCAGTCTGTGGGAGGAGCCAGAATTATTGTTGGTTGGCAGGGGATCAAATACTTATTTTACTCACTGAACTGCAACTCAATGTATAACATCTGTATCATGTGTTTTTTCTGGAGTTTTGGTTGATATTCTGTCTCTATCATTTAAAATAGACATCTGATACAAATTATAGACCTTTCATTTCTTTGTAAGTTGGCGAACTTACAAAATTTGCAGGGGATCAAATCATTATTTTCCTCACTGTATATGGCCTATCTTAAGTGCTCGTTCACACCAGGCAGCATTTATCAGCATTGACAATTTAAAGACACAATGCAGGTGAATAAAACATTGTTAGGAGGAGGAATACAATGCAAGCTAGCATTTTAAAAAAAACTTGATTTTGATGTGCTTTTACCTGCAATATTTTTTAGGTTGGTGACAGGGTTTCTTTCGAGGTACATGGGAAAGGGGTGGGGGGGTCTTTGACACACACGTTTTAATGCCCAGTGGCTTGAACATGTTGAATACAAAGTTTAATATATAGTGAAGTGAAACTGATAAGTAACAAGTTCATTGACAGTGTGGAGTAGATCTGGAGGGTATATTCACATAAATGGTCCCACAGCTTTCTGAAAGGTGTGTGCAGCGTATGGTGTATGCCATATGTATGTATAATTCCTCCATGATCAGTGGACTCCAGTGGGGGCACATGATGTGACCTCATCTGCGCCTTCAGTAATTATTCATGGAAATCCTGACGGGCCATGTTGGACCATGTAGTGAATGCGCCCCATTGTTTGCATGCAGCTGTGGGACGGGGAATCCCTAGCTACAGCAGATTAGGCACAGTTGCTTCATTTCAGGTTCAAATGAGCTTGGGTTTGGTCCGAACCTGACCTCACCTTAGTTCCATTTGTTTAATTCAGACATATAAATGAATCCAAAGCTCATCCCTATTTGGAACATGCTCTCACTATGGTGCAGTGACAGCACCTCAGACTAATTTGAATTTATATGACCCTTCTATTTTCATCCTTATTTGTGAGGACATAATTATTACTGACAGTGATAAACATTATACCCCAATGGAAAACATCACTCTGCTTTCCAACTATAGAATGGTGAAGAAAATGAAGAATGACATCACCATTATCCACAAGGGCACGGCTAAATAATACCATAATGAATCATACAGTTATCCAGATAGACTCCGTAACGAACAGCTAAGACTCAGCTAATTGTCTCAAGATTAACCTCTAACTAGCTACAAAGGCATGTCATGCAATTCATTAGGGGAAAACCTAGTCCAAGTATTCATTAAAACATTAAAAAACAAGCATAAAATAACCTGATTCTTAATATTCTCAACATCATAGAATCTGAATCCAATCGGCAGTTCTTACCTTCATATGGAGTATCAGGAGGGCCAGCAATTTCCCCTCTCAGTTCAGAGAAGTTCTCATCTACTAGGTCTACTTTGATTTGGTTTTTGCTAGTCTAAGAAAAAAAACAGAAAAAGGAAATATTAGAAAATAAACAATTCCTATGCAAACATAATATCTAGGATATAAAAGACATACATTGCTGCCATTTCATGGTATTACAAGAATGGCCCAGTGTCGTTGATGAACCATTCTGGGCTTATGCTAATTCTCAAGTCACAGAATGTTTCCGTCAATACATATATTTTAATTATAAGAGATGCAGCTCTTTGGACACATTCTGAAAATGCTTAAAATGTAGGCAACTACTAAAAACTGAACCGATCAGAAACTTTCTGAAATAGATTTGTGGCAAATCAGAACATACATCAAGAGGATCATTTTTCAAAGAGAAAAACTGCACATCCATCGGGCCCATTCACAGCGCAACTTGTTAAATGCGTCATTTTTTCTGACCTGCAGGACATGCGTTGCAACACAAGGCAACACTAACGTGACTCTGACCAAGCCCGAGTAGGTGAAACGCGTTAGTGGGAATGACCAGCAGGTGGGGGATCATAAGTTTGGAGATGCTGGATTTTACCAATAGGTGAAGATCGGCAGTGTGCGGCTGTTTGCTTGGATGGCTTTTGCTGTGGATTATGGATGGCTCTCTAGCCAGAACCTGCAATGAACCCAAGCAGTGGAACTGTGATGTGGAAGGTCTCTCTCTGCAGCATTTTTACACTAGTTATACAGGACTGTAACCACTGGTTAAGGATCCCAAGGCATTGTATGTTAATGTACTTTTTTTTAAACTGTCCCTCAGTCTGTCCCCTTATCTGCACACTGCGATCTATTCAAGACAGCAGAAGCTTGTCTATAGCGTGCTATGTATAATCTCGTTCCATAGAAACAGCGGAGAAGAAAATAAATGTTTTTGACTAATTATTTTTAGGCATGATGTGTGAATAGGAACACAAACATAGTGGAGGTTTCCCAAATTTAACTGTAAAAGTGGAAATGCAGTTTGGGGGTCCCAAGACAAAGCAGTTCCTTATCCATGACAAGGCAGAGTTATGTTTCTGACGCAGAAATAGAGCATGATATTATAATGCGAACGCGTTCCCATATTTTATGTGAGATAAACATTTAACAACAAGGTCCACTTTAATCAGAAGCCATATGCCACCAACCTCAGGGACCACAGCAGAGTTCAGTAAGGGAGGGTTAGAACCCGTCAGCTTTTTCTTTTCCCATCTGTGTCCCATTAGGGAGACTTCCCCTCACTTCCTGTCTGATAGCGGCAACAATAAATGAGAAGTACTCTCTCCAAAAGTCAGGGAAATCCCTGGTGGTCAGCGGGGTCACCAGAACTAGTGTCCCCATTGGAAGATTTTCCCTCTATTCCTGTTCTGGTGACAACCCAAAATTTGGGGTTTTCTTTTACTTTCAATGATAATGGTCACCAGGACAAATAGAAAAGGTGAATCTCCCTAACATGGACACAAAAATAAAAACTTGACAGGTGTTCTAATCCATCTCCACTGCACCCAAAACTAAAACATGGCTTCAGTTGCACTGTAATTCAGGTTAGCTATGATTAACAAACTATAACTTACTATCGTTACTGGAGAGAAAAAAAAATGATGTGCACACTTCACTAAGGCTCCGTTCACACCTAGGCGTCAGCTTTTTTGCACATATTAGCGCACATACTGTTTAGCGTCGTCTAGCGTATTTAGCACGTTTTGCACATTTGTGAGCGCATAAGACGTGCGTCTTAGAGAGCAGATTGAAATAAATTGCGGTGAATGGAAAAATGAGCAAAACTATGTGTGACTCTACGTTGGAATTTCAGAATTTTATTCATCCTCCAATGTCATTCTAGTACCAAGAAAATGGTAGGTCCCTCTGCACTCCTTATAGCATTCCCGGCCCAAATTACAATGGTGGTGCTCGCAGTGGTAATCACGGATGGCGCCGTGCACATCAACAGTAAGGGCCTGTTCACACGACGTCCGTTTTGTGTGCTGACCGGATCTGTACGCTGCTGAACTCAAAATGCATCCCAATGTATCCCTATGTGTTTTATGGGCTACAGTTCTCACGTGCGCAGTCCGTTCAGCTTACGACAGAAAAAATACTGCATGTCACATTTTGTCCTTTCCGGAAACGCACGAACACAACGAAAACGGAACGGAAACGCAACGCAATGCAGCTAAGGGAAAAAAAATGGTATTCTTGCTCCACTTATTATGATGTTATCAACGATAGACGGACAGGTTGGGGTAGAGGTAACGACATGAACTGCAAACATTTGGAACATGCCCATTACCTTGCCATGGACATACGAATAAAGGGAAAAAAAATTATCCGGGTGACCTCGCAAATCCTCATACAAACTCCAGAACTGACCCTTGGAGTCCCGGAGCCTCAAGATTGGATGTATCCAATAACGACGTCTCCTGCGGGCTCGTTCTCTGCAGATTGCTGTAGCCAGCAACATCAACTTGCCTGCAAATATGTGATACATGTCTGATCACCAGCTTTACATAGAGGGCGGAAGTGACCTCAGAGGCTGAATCTGCATACTGACAGCCCCTTGGCTAAAAAAAAATAAAAAAATGAACTGTCACCCATCAAAAACGCAATGCATCAGCAGCTCCACGTCTGCTGATCAGGACCTGTTCTCATGTGAACAGGCCCTAAAAAGCAGGAATCACCAGAACTCTGTAAATAATATTCAAGTAATAAACGTCCATTTATTCGGACCAGTTGTCACAAACGAAATACCGGGGAAAAAAAACGGTATTTCGCTTGTGACGACTGGTCCGAATAAATGGACGTTTATTACTTGAATACTATTTACCGAGTGCTGAGGATTTCTGCTCTTTAATATTCTAGTGCCAGTGATTAGTACATGGGTGACGTCACATTATACCCAACCTTTAGCTTTCTTGCACTACCACCATCAGAATTTGTATACTATTTAAATGCATCAATAATCCAGTAATTAAAAGGAGTAAATACAAGCCATCAATATCCCAACAATTTGCTCTTTCAATTCTAAAGTCACGGCAGACAATCAACTCCTGTTCTAGTTCTTTGATCAACACAAACCTTTGCTTTTAAGCGGTCACAATGAAGAGTTGAAACTGTCAGCATTTCTGGAACATTTTACTCACACAAGTAAAGACAGCCTGCTGACTCGGGGGTATAGCAACAGTTTGTATCCGTCACTGGAGCCCACGAGGGACAAAATACCGTAGACAGAGCTAGTCGAATCCACGAGTCAAAGGTAGTTGCACGCTCACAGAAGTGATTACTTCAACCGACTGCAGCTTTACAACTGGCAATATCAGAAGTGAACACTGGCACCAACACAAAAGGTAGGCAACCTTGGTACTCCGGCTGCAGTGGAACTACAAATCCTTGTCAGAGTCTTGCAAATCCTCATTGGATTTGTAGTACTACAACAGCTGGACTGCTGAGGTTGCTTACACCAAATAGTGTTGTTGTGTTTACAGAAAAGAAAAAAACAATGTCCATGTCCTGAAGCCATGTAGTAAAATGTGTGCAAAAAGCGCACAAAAATGTGCATAAAAACGTTTTTGCCTAGGTGTGAACATGACATGGGCTGCTCCACTGTTACCATCCTCTTTTCTTCACGTCATGTCCCCTGGGAAAGTACAGCCCTATTCTTATTCAAGCCTACGGGGCTCAATGCTGAGGCATGGCCAGCGCTGAGGTGAGAAAGTGACTAGGTAAAAGGTCTCTAGGGTTAGGGGGCTAGGAGAACTGACAGGTAACTGATACTAGGCATCCTACGCACCTATAAAATTTAACTATGCATAGCCCCTGCCAGCTTATTTTTTTTGCTGCCCATGTCCCCTTGGAAACAGGGATGTGGAAATTTTCTAAGAAAAACAATTACTTGTCCAGGGACTAAGGTGGGGGCCCAAACTACTTGTCATGATACAAAAAACATAAGTTAGGTAGCTGGTAACTTTGTTTCCAGGAATCTTCCAAGGAAGCATCTGAGAGAAGGGATCCACCCACCTGAAACAGGAAATACATCATCCAGGAAGCCCCCTATGTGATAGCCAATTTACATGACAGGTCCTCCTTATTGAGCCTCGTCTAGGGCATCTTGCTGAATGTACTTCGGCCAGGGGTAGCAAACCTCCGGCCCTCCAGCTGTGGTGAAACTACAAATCCCATGATGCATCTCTTCAGCAGTCATGTCTGTGGCTGTGAGAATCTTGCAATGCCTCTATGGATTTGTAGTTCCACCACAGCTACAGGGCCGGAGGTTTGCTACCCCTGATTTAGGCCCTTGATCAAAGGCTGTCATTTCAGGGACTTCTGACCTTTTCAGAAGCCAAGGGCTCCCTGGGCAAGTAAGTTATATTCACCCAGTTAAGCCCCTAAGTTTAATACAATTTATTTGATCATTCCCATATTTTTAAGTTGTTTGAGCCATTGAATGCACTCACAAATCTAAACAGTTAAGCATAGGAATTTGTTAAATGAGCAAATTAATATAACAGGGTGTTTAACCCTTTATTACATGCACTCCCAGCACCTAACAGAGAAAACAGGGCGGCAGCTTTGCAGCTATCACTGGACCTGACCTGTACTGCAAAGTGCCATGCAGCAAGAAGAGGCGACTGAGATAAAACAAATATCACATGGCTGGCCTATGATCCTGAGGTCTGACACTCCTCCAATACTATAGGCAGAATACAGAAGCTGATGCATGGGGAAAAAAAACCCAGGTCATTACTTCAGCATACTAAACCTGTCGCCCTACCATGTCGTTGTACCCAATAGACTTATCTCTAAACGATGCCTATAATATATAGGTGCAGGCACAACCATGAACCCTGAAGTATGTAGCTTGTCTCTGCAGTGAGACAATTTTATTAGGGCTTGTCCATATCTGCTGAATTCAGGTGCGTGTCCGGAACAATGGTCTCAAATCACATCTCTGTGTCCGATTCCTGTCGTTTATAACATAAAATAATCGGGCATGAAAACACACTACTTTGATTTTCAACCGCATAACATTTC